GAGTTTTTTAACGATATTTAACTGGTCATCATGGGGTCTAATCGCTGCAGTAAACCTGCCAATAACCTCTTGGTTTGTGGTGCGGTCTTTGAATGTGAAGAAAATCATACAGCACAATAGAACAGCTGAAGAAAAGAGAAGAAATCAAAGCAAATGGACAAGCTCCAGCTGGAATAGCTACAATTTTATCAAAATAAGCTTTTTTTCATTTTTTAGCTTATGATGATCAATATATTAAAGTTTTTATTTCTAAACTTAGACATACACAAATATCCGACAGGGCGATACCATTTTTTTTTAATTCAATCATTAGTAAATCTAAAAATGAAAATCATTTTAAAAAATAAATTCATTTGTAGCTTTTATATAGCGGTACTTAAATGCTTCTAGCATGCTCCGGGCGATATCTCATTGTGGACAAATGAGGGGAGTGGGTATCTGTGAGAAGTTCTTTAGGCAGCTCAGTCCGGTGTTGAACCTCGTACCCTCTTCATAGGTAGCCAAGCCAAGCCAAGTACTTATCCTCTCGACCACGCATCCCACATTAAATACGTGTAAAAAAAAAAAAATACCTCCATTATACAAATTTTTAAAAAAGTATATAATTGTTTTTTAATTTGCTAACACCAAGCATCGAACTCGTGTTTATGATACCGCCAGCTCAATCTAAGATTCTACCCATTAGGCCTACGAGCATTTTATAATTATTATTGGTAGTAATCATTATAACTATATAGATTATAGATATCAAGAACTAGATCTACATCTATATCTACACTTCTGATTTAGAACTCTTAAAATCTAGTCTAGATCTAGATACACTTCTAGATTGCCCCTCCCTCATTTAAAAAAATTGAGATCTGCTAATTGCTTGTAACGAGTTAAGTTGTCTATGGTGGTTGCCATGAATCGCTTCGATGCTTTAGTTATGGTTCTTCTGCATTCCTTTAAAAAAGTATTCTAACTATCAAGTTTGATTTTTGCTAACTCTGTATAGTAATTGCCTGCATTTGTTTCTACAACAGGTAAAGATCAAAGCATCAATGGTTCTTTATTCTATATAGCAGATGAGCTTCGACTACAAATCAACTGCCCATTTATTTTTGTTAAGAACAATGGTAAAATGTTAATCAGCAAAAGAATTGTGACACTAATCTATAACGACACACCTAACTGGGTTCTTTGTGAGCTTAGCCCCTTTTTAAAGGTAGGTTGATAATAAGCTCTTTACAGTTCATAAAACAGTACACCTTTGAAGTCTAATAGTATAATCCTTTAGTAAAATCACTAAATTTAGAAAGCCTTTAGGATAGAAGACTTATAAGTAAAGTAGCAATTATACATAAAACACTGAACCTTAATCTCCAATTACAAAAACAAAATTTAATAAAATACTCAGAAAGACACAAAGATAAAGACACATTCCTTGTCCCATATGCTAGGACAAATTTGTACAAATGCTCCTTCTTCCCTAGCGCTATTAAAGCATGGAATGGGTTGCCTGAGCTAGCCAGGAAAACCAGCGAGTTTAGGTCATTGGTTAATATGCATGACATCATCTTCTTTTTGAAGTAACGTCTGTATCATATGATAAGTAATTACTGTAATAGAAATATACATCGAGGGAAGTTTTGAAGCATATCATATAATGAAAATGATAATGATCTTATAAAATATATATTTTGGTCACTGGAAATCATTTTTTAGAAGGAAAGGAAAGTCTTTACATTTATTCTTTCAGGCCTTTCTGATGTCTTTGGTCGATCTACACCTTAGTATTCATCTTGTTTGTGAGCTACACTTCTATTTTCTCGTATTCCTCTGAGGTGGCTGGATACACCGCTACTGCACTAACCGGTCTAAAATTGGTGAGCTCTAAAGTTGAGTCATTGATTAAAGAAATTCGATCTTCAAGTGAATCTTCAAAAGAAATGTAAGTTGAATGTTAACTTTTTTTTTAAATTTAATCTAAACATCCTTAAACTGCATTATATACTTGTATGCTTAACGTTAACAATTTTATATTGGAAGGATACACACTTGCTTTGAATTGAAACAAGCTTAGAGCAGCTTCTCTCAGACTCTAACCTGTGGATGCCACCCCTGGACAAACTAGCGCATCTCAGCAAGCTAGTGATTCAGTGGGAGCGCTTTAAGTGCCAACAGCACCAAAAGCAAACTTTCGGAAAGCATCAGGTAGAGAGCCGAAATGACCTCGCTCATAGTGATTTCTCGTACAAATAGTTCAAGACGCACAACAGTGAAAGCGCATTGCAACCTGGTGTCCCGACAAACCCTCTGATTACCAAAGCAAATATCATAATAAGGACCTGGAATATTACATATCTACGTGAATACTAAACATATTCATCAAGTCGCCAAGAAAAAAAAGGAAATATAATATTAAGGTACTTGAAGTAGCAGGTAAGATTAAATGGTAGGGGACATATCACACTGACAACAGTCTCAAGTCAGCCAGATTTAATGGAAAAGACAGCAAAAACTACTATCACTGCTATGCGCCGACAAGCGCTATAACAAATGAAGAAAAAGGCGACTTTTAGTTTTACAATTCTCTGCAATCATTTATTTTATCAATTAGTTTGGATAAAAAGTGGGTATCTGATTGAAGGAAACCTTGATATTTTTTTCTACGTATTTTATTAGTTTAAAAAAAGTTTTACGACTTTAAATCAAACTCGAGGCCTTAAGCCGCGATACTAGCCACTGTGCCAGCGAAGTGCTTATGAAAATAGAAAGTTTTATGGTTATCTATTGTAAGGTTCAAACTTTTACATTACAAACTCAACTTATACTACCACACCAGTCAAGTACTATTTTTTCCTTTCTTCAGTACTAAACAAATTATTTTACTACCAAAAAAATTAATTAACTAATTGTTCAAATTTTTATTGAATCTTGTTTTGTCTGGTGCAATAATTGTTTTTGTTTAGCGCAAGTTCATGCTTTTAGCTTTCTCAATGCGCTATGATCCTATTACTTGTCTGGACCAGTTGGGAAGGGTGATAGAAGTGGGTAGCTGCGCAAATGCTGCCGTATTCGCTTTTGAATGCATTTAAACAAAACGTGGTACGAATTGTTTCAAGTTATAAAATGTTTGTCAAATGTTACATGTTCCTAAAGAGTTGAAGATAACCTACTTCCTTGTCCAAACCTCTTGCAGGACGATGGGGGGGGGGGGGGGGAGGACAGGGTATGAACCCGGGACCATCAAGACGATCTTGGGCTTAAGGGCTAAAAGAGAGATTAAGAGAGATTAATTCAGCTTATACCACCACATCTGTCAAGTACAATTTCTTTCCCTTGTTCGTTAAAAAAAGGGGGGCAGAAGAGATTATCTTTGGGAATGTTTACATTAAAAAAATCACTCAAGGCTAAATATTCCTTAAGGGGACTAATTCAGCTTATACCACAACATCTGTCAAGTACGATTTCTTTCCCTTCTTCAAGCCCCAAACAAAATAAATTATTACCAATTATTAGTCAACTGATCGGTTATTGTTTTATTGATCTTTGTGTTGTCATGTAAAAGAAAAAATTGTGCGAAATTTCAGCTTAATGCGAGATTGGGTGTGGAGAAATAACGTGTACAAACTTTGTACCAGACAGACAGAGTTTCTAAAATTTAAAATAAGAATTGTAATTAGAAATGGTCACGACTCGCCGTCTTTGATTATCCGAGTTCATGTTTAATGATTGCTAATATTTCTCTATATTACATGTTTAATGGGTTCATACCATTATTGCATTTTCGTAGAGTCAAAGAAAAAGTCAAAGAAAGAGTCAAAGAAAGAGTCAAAGAAAGAGTCAAAGAAAGAGTCAAAGAAAGAGTCAAAGAAAGAGTCAAAGAAAGAGTCGAAGAAAGAGTCAAAGAAAGAGTCGAAGAAAGAGTCAAAGAAAGAGTCAAAGAAAGAGTCAAAGAAAGAGTCAAAGAAAGAGTCAAAGAAAGAGTCAAAGAAAGAGTCAAAGAAAGAGTCAAAGAAAGAGTCAAAGAAAGAGTCAAAGAAAGAGTCAAAGAAAGAGTCAAAGAAAGAGTCAAAGAAAGAGTCAAAGAAAGAGTCGAAGAAAGAGTCAAAGAAAGAGTCAAAGAAAGAGTCAAAGAAAGAGTCAAAGAAAGAGTCGAAGAAAGAGTCAAAGAAAGAGTCAAAGAAAGAGTCAAAGAAAGAGTCAAAGAAAGAGTCAAAGAAAGAGTCGAAGAAAGAGTCGAAGAAAGAGTCGAAGAAAGAGTCGAAGAAAGAGTCAAAGAAAGAGTCAAAGAAAGAGTCAAAGAAAGAGTCAAAGAAAGAGTCGAAGAAAGAGTCAAAGAAAGAGTCGAAGAAAGAGTCAAAGAAAGAGTCAAAGAAAGAGTCAAAGAAAGAGTCAAAGAAAGAGTCAAAGAAAGAGTCGAAGAAAGAGTCAAAGAAAGAGTCAAAGAAAGAGTCAAAGAAAGAGTCAAAGAAAGAGTCAAAGAAAGAGTCGAAGAAAGAGTCAAAGAAAGAGTCAAAGAAAGAGTCAAAGAAAGAGTCAAAGAAAGAGTCACAGGAAGAGTCAAAGAAAAAGTCAAAGAAAGGCTGCAACGAGAACGTTTAAAATTTCAAGAGTCTTGGATAGTTACTGACATAAAGATGAAAACAGATGCACAGAACCTACAAGTCTCTCCAAAATATCAAGATGCACAGAGCCCACCAGGAACAATCGAGGAAGTAACCCCAATAGAACATCAAGTCTCTCCAAAAAAACTCAGTAATCCTTAAGATGCACAGAGCCAACCAGGAACAATCGAGGAAGTAACCCTAATAGATAGAAACAAGACAGACCATCAAGTCATTTCAGAAAGATCCACTAATCCTCAAGCTCCAAATTTAGATTCAAAAGTATAAATTCAACAGAGAGAGAAAAAGAGATTATATATAAATATAGATATAAATACTGGGCTGGCCTTACAAATTGTGGGGTCCAATTTAATGGATGATTGCGATGAACTTCTAAATTATCTTTTTTAATAGCAGCTATTATTATTAATTAGATCTTTATATCAACATTTATTATACAACTTGCATAGGAATCAACTCAAACACACTAGGCGCCGGTGGGTTAATTAATAAGTTACGATACAGTAAATATTTTAAATATGATTACCTTTAAATTCTACATCTTTAAATGCCTATGACAAGAGCCATATGGTAAATGTAAATACCAGCCACGGGGCCCGATTTTGAGTAATCGGCCTATGCCGGCCCTGATTATATATATTGTATATATATATTGTATGTATACAATATATATATATACAATATACATACAAATTGTATGTATATTGTATATATATATTGTATATATATTGTATATATAGAAATAATAATAAGGCGTGTCTTAAAGTCTGAAGATTAGTGAGGAATGCAGTATTTCCCGTGGATGCGTAGCCCCAGCTGTGACCTAGATATTTTTCCACACCGGGCCAAGCATAAATTGTCCGCAGATGGTCGATTTAGACTTTCTTTTCGCCGTCTGCGTCTGTCCCAGGCAGCGGATTTTCTTTTGGTATTATATATATATATATCATATAATATATTTATATATTAATTTCTACATAAAATATATTATTTTAATCAAAAAGAAAAGGTTATTGTAATAGACTGGAAAACATATTAAATATTTTATATATTGCATTTTTTAATAAAAGAGCTTTTTAATTAAATATTTCTTTGACATGTTAAACTTTTGTTTTCTCTAAGTCCTGTTTTGGTGTGATAGAGTTATTTGCTTAAATGTGCCTAAGATATTTTTTTTATTTTATTCATTTTAACAAAAGCTAATCTTTCTTTACAGTGGTATTATAGAATTCAGAACGAAACTACCCATAAAATGTGGCACATTGTGGCACACCGAAATAGCCGTTCACAAGAAGTCCAACTCTGTGGACGTGTGGCGCAGATATTGGTTCCTGCGGAACTTCGAGCAGGAGGGGGCTTTCCTTGGCTAGCTGCCCACATAGAACAACCCAAACCTCTGTATGTCTTTGCAGTTATACCCAGACTTTGGAAGGTCATCGGTAGTCAAACACGATGAAAAATCTGGACCTTACGATTCTTAGACAGTTTGCATCTATCAGTACTACACTCTGGTAAAGCCTGCGACGCAGCTGATCCAAAAATGTATTGGCACTTGCCGTCCTTTTGGTTACATAAGCTGCGAGGGGGGCGGGCCTAGAGTATGAGTGACAACCCTTCGACCATAGCTAATGCCCAGGCATTCATCTCAATTTCATGAAATGATTCACTGTCGCTTACTGACTGAAGGAGACCATAGTATTATGAACCTTAAAAAGAACACATTTTTAATAAAATAGAATAAATAACTTTTAATTGTGTGTAAAATCAAAAGAAATGGCGTCTGCAGGGATACGCAACACGCTGAAAGAGAAAAAAATGCGAAGGTGGACTAGTTCTTACTGTCATGTACTAATTACCATAGGAGACTCCTTTTTTAATGCCCCTTCCAAATCCACCTTAGGCAGACACTACTACCACTACAGCCTAACATAACCAACACCCTGTACAGGCAATGCTGAACAACTGAAGAAAACAGCACACTATTTTTCCTTGTCACAGTCTGCAAAGGAGCTCACAGCTCAGCAGCAAAAAGCTGGCTAGAAGAAGAAGAAGAACCATAGGAGACGGATTTTGAACGCGACACAAGCAATGACGTCACAATCTAGCTTAGCCTGTAAATAACTTGGAAACAAAGAACTAGCGTAGAAACCATCTCACGATCAACATCCTATTGGTGACAGAGATTCGACTTTTTCCGTTCAGTTCATTAGTGGTTATCTTTGCCTCTTTTGCAAGCTGTATACTTTATCAAGAGGCTCAAACCCGGTAGGCCAGGGATTATAGTATTTTGAAGAACCATCGAAACTCCTCTCTTTTTTAAATAAAGTAACCTTATTTTTAAAAGATGAAAACATAAAACATTAGGACACACACTGTACTTCGTGTATTAACAAACGATAAAAGTAAAGTTTAATAGTTAGATACAATAATCAATTCATGGTAGAAGCAGACTTACATAAAGCTCTAAGCTTATAAACCCAATTCATTGGTTGAACCCTCCTGTAACAAGCTCGTCCTATGTGTTAATAGTTTCTCCAACCAAAAGCTTCAGTAGAGAGGAAACGAAATGAAAAAAAGTCCTCTCTAGTTATCTCATTTAGTTATTCTTTTGTTTAGAAACTCTATAAACTACCTGAAACCAATGCGTAAAAAAAAAATATATTTATTTTTTTCTGGCAACCCACATAAATACACCACATGACACTCTGCATGAAAATCCCTTTTAATCAGTCTATCGATTGTTATTTAACTCTTAGTTTGAATAATCAACAAAATGTGTATTGCTTAAATTTAAACTAATTAAATCTATACTAGTCGACCGACAATTATTAAATAAAATCATTTTATAACTTACAACAGATTTCCGCGGCCTCCTGTCGATTTAAAAGGAGGTCCTGGAAATCTCCTAAAATTGCAAAATGTACGAAAAAGTCCTGGAAATATCCAGAAATTATTAAAATCTTTTGAAAACTCACACAAATATATGGACGAAAATTGTCATTTTGGGGTGCATTTAATATGGAAAACGCCAATCCTACGATAATTTAAAAATAGCATTTTGCAATACCCGCAATTGTGGAATCTAGTGAAAGAAGCTTCTCGCGCCTCCAACTAATGAAGAATTACTTGAGATGAACAATTCTCGTAGATAGATTGAAACATTTGGCAATTCTTGCTATGGAGCGTGATCTATGTAGGAAATAGAATTTTTATGATGTAGGCCTACTGTATGACTTCGCTACACGCAAGGCTCGTAAAGTAATTCTGTACGTACTAAAGAATGAATAAAATGCAAAGACGAATGTATTTTCAAATACAAACTCTTAATTTTCACTTATTATCCGTATCCCTACCCAAACTTGGTCCCGCGAAATCTGTTTCGCATAGGGCTCTACAATGGCTAAGTCCGGTTCTGCTATTTAGTGACGGATGAATACTACTCCCCTCCCCCCCGCCCCTCTATTTTTTCGCCTCAAATAAATTACCTAGGATAACTTTATCCGTCCGAGTTGCAAAAATAAAAGAGTGATCTTTCCATGGTGTCCAACCACTTGAGCGTGCTCTGTCGCCTCGATAGTTACTACAGAGTAGATTACTCTCCCCCCCCCCTTTTTTTTTTAAAGTGGGGTAGAAATTTTTTAAAAAAGTGATATTTCTTAGTTACAACGGTCCAGCCCTGCTATTTTGTGACTACGTGTTGTCCCCCCCCCCCCCCTTTCTTGTTTTCTCGTGGACTATCCGCAGAAATAAGAAATTGATCTTTCCTTTACTTCTTCTCGTTTAAGCTGTTGAGGAAGAAGAGAATTATATAGATAGATAGATCTTTGTTTGAAGGTCATTTAGTATTTCCAAGCAAAATTTTAAGGGCGCTCATTTGAAATTTAGTGTTGCGACTGCTATAAGCTACAAAATGGAATAGCTTCAACAATTAAACTCTGCAGTACCTTTATTTAAAATCTATTTTAGTTTGTGTTTTTTTCGCCATAGATGAAAGTTTTTATTACAGTGGGGAAAATTATTGCCGTTGTTTTATTTGTATACTTCCTCCAATTAGCTTGCAAACCCTTCATGGGTTCTAACTGAAAACTGAGATGAACCTAGAGACATCGACATTTCGAAAAAAAATTTATCTTTGGGAAAAATATTACTATTATATTGGCCACGCAATGAAAACTTTGGTTTGACAGTTATAGTTTTTCAAAATAGGATCCAATATAATTAAATTAAATTTGGATATTTTGAACACATATTCAAAGGGTATTCGCGCAATTGGTCCAAAGTGTCTTCTTAAACTGTCAGGTAGAGTTGAGCCATCGGCTTTTGGAACTCTAGGCCTGCAAAAGTGAACAAGAGCTCCCTCTCACCGGCCTGTATGAAAACACTGTACACTGTTTTGTCTGGCGGGTGGGTCAGACTCGCGGTAAAAGGCCGCGTATAGATCTACTAAGACCCCCTTCATTTTTCTTTTCTATACTAAGCTAACCGTGTGGGACACGCCATTTATTATGTAACGGCCCCTTGAGGAACAGCGCCTGGATCGTGACAAGGTTGTGAGAGCTTTTTTACTACAACTCCGCACAGTGCAATGAGGATGCTCTCGCACCCCCTTAGGCACCCCCCCCCCCCCACGGGAGTCTTGTTTTGCTACCCTTTAGCCTAATCGTTTCCTCCTACGATCGTTTCCACACGGGCGCCACTATGAGGCAGGGTAGCATGCCAGGGACTTTGTATTCAGTAAAGAGGACAAAGTAAAAAGTCGATTTTGAACATTTTCCCCCCACACAGTCTTTATGTTGAAGTTATCTGTGGATAGTACTAAAAGAAACTGATTGTCTCTAAGCTCGCTGGAGAGATTCTTTGCAATATTGAAACATTACAAGAAATAAAGAGAAATGAAAAATCAGCATCAGCATCATAACGAAGGCAATTTTTTTTGGCATACTGTTAACGTGGGAGCGAGATTTTGGTTAAAGGGAAACAAAATTGGTAATGTATGGATTGTGTGCCCCTGTAAAACAAAACGTTCTCTTTAGATAAGAGAATTTCACAACGGCTAAGGCCCATTGGTTTTTTTTTTCCCCAGGCTACTTATTGTTTAGTTTGGCCATTTCCATTTACAGTAGAACGGTCCGCAATTTTACACTTCCCCAAACCTATCTTGGAATTCTTTGAGCCCCGTGTGAAGTGTATTACATGTTTGTGATAAGACCAAAATCATTATTCATACAAAGTCAGCTTCTCTTTGACTATACAAACGTTCAAAGTTTCGAATAATTTCACTGGACAAAATGATAGGATTATAACACCAACGAAATCGTCAATTCAAGCAACAAAAAAATTAGTAAGTTAATTGTAACACTATTATCATATATTAGATTGCGAGTTCCTTAGAATGGAGTTTTCTGTCTCTGAGTCACATAAGTTTGAATGTTAGGCAGACTTTCTACTAATTGACACAGGGCTTCCACTCGAGGGAAACCTTCAATGCTGTAGCCACGTTGAAGAAATGAAAATACAGCGTCATAGACAATCAGATCAGCCAGAGTCAGCTGTTGGACAAAAACAGTCAAGTTAGTAATGAAAGTTATAGAAAAAGATAAATATTTTATAAATACTTAAAAAAAAAAAAAAAAAAAAGATTAACTTAAGTG